GGTGGACCCCTTTGGTGCTAGTACCACGTTCGACATCCATTCCACATGAATAACTGGCTGGATGTGTTTGATCCGTAGCAAGGTGGCAACTTCCTGCTTAGTGAAATCACGCCGTTCGGCAACTTGATATCTTTTCTTCTGCTGAATTGGCTTGGCATCAGGCCGAACGACCAACTTGTGACAGATTATGTCTGGATCAATACCAGGCATGTCTTCCGGGCCGCGAGCAAATAGCATCTGGAATTTCCTCAGGACCATGATAACACCTTCTCGAATCCTAGCTTCCAGGTCTACCCCGATCGCCACTTTTCGATTGGGGGGAGAGTCAATATCAATCTGCTCTAATAGAGTAGCAGGCTCGGGATGTGCCTCAAACTCTGTTCGGCGAGCTTCAACCTCAATGTTGTTGACCCGCATTCCTCGGATATTCATATTCTTCAAGGCTTCCCGATAGCACGTTCGGGCTTTTTTTGGATCAGTTTTGGCCACCCCAACCCCAGTATCTGTTGGGAATTTGATACATGAGTGGCGGACAGAGGCTATTGCTTCCAGATCTTCCAATCCCGGTCAGCCCAAAATGGCGTTGTGGGCACATTTAATGTCCACCACCACGAACGTCATTCGGACCGATGTTTTGCGCGTCTCATCTCCAATTTCGATCATCAATTGGATCGTGCCTTCAGCCTTAATGCAATTTCCTGTGAAGCTCGCGAGCGGTGTCCTCAAGTGAGTCAGTTGGTTTCTTTGCAGGCCCATTTTTTCGAACGTTTGTAAGTACAATACGTTCACGCTGCTTCCTGTATCTATTAGTACATGTCGGATCAAAGCATTATCTATACACATGCTTATCACCAACTCGTCCCTGTGCGGACTTGGTGAGTTGGGCAAATCTGCAGGCCCAAATGTATTTGAGTCCATCCTTCCTTTCTTTTGGGGTGGTGTGGCTATAGAGCCCACGTACAGGCTCCGTTCAAATTTCTTTCGTTCGACGTTCGAGTCACCTGTCTCTCCACCCCCAAATATAACCTTCACCTCCATTCTGGGTTTTTTACCCGGGTTCCCCGAACCTTCTGGTTCATCTCTGGGAGGTTTATATACATCATTTCTGGGGTGAGCGTCACGCTGAGCATCCCGTCTCCAGCTGTTTGGTCTTTTAACCGGCTTCAGAATGCCTGTAGCGTTGGGGTCTGTATTTACATATTTACTCAGATGACCTCTCTGGATCAATTTCTCAATTGCTATTTGTAGTGCCCGACAGGATTGGGTGGAATGACCGTTCCTGTTGTGGTACTTGCAAAAAGCATTCCCATCACCCCCCATGTAACTTTTGGTGTCGGTCGGAGGGGGAATGTTGTCCTTCTCGTTCTGATAGATGGTTGCAATAGACAGGACCAAAGGGGTGAATCGTCCTGCTCTTGGAGGAGGAGCGGCCATTGGGATAGGACCCAGCCGATCGGCCAGTTTTATTAGGGTAAGGGGTGCAACTACCCTATCCCTGATAATGATTTCTTCCTCCAGAGCCGCATGTTTCTGGGATCTGTCCAGCACTTCAGAATACATCGTGCCCGAATTCTTTTTCAGATCTTTATACAGTTCACCCGTTCGGAGAGCATGAGTAAATAGGGTGATAGCTGTATCATCCGTCATGTTCCCTACTTTCAGGGTCTCATCCCTCCATCTTTTGAGGAATTGATTTAGGGTCTCCTTCGGGCCCTGTTTGATACTGGTCAGGTAACTGAAATGCCTTCTTGGAGTGGCACTGGAGGCAAACTGGGCCAGGAATAAAGACGATAATTCGGCAAAGCTGCCGATCGATTCGGGCTGCAGGGTCCCGAACCATTCCTGGGCAGGTCCCCTGAGCGTGCTGAAGAAAAGATGACAAATGGCCGCCTCTGATGCTCCCAATAGCATAAGCCCCCCTTGATAACTCCTCAAGCATCCATGGGGATCTCCCGCCCCGTCATATATCTGACCGGTCGGCGGTTTGGCATCCCTATGGATCTCAGCTTGCATTTTTTCCCGGGTGAAAGGGGAAGTAATCCCGACCCGTACTGGAGTAGGTTGTAGAGGTGTTCTGTTCATTTGTTCCCTCATTTCGTTCATCTGACTCCTCATTTCGGCCATTTCTTCCTCCTGGGTCGTTAGGGGAGGTGGTGGTGGAGTTCCCAGGTTGACAAACTCCTGATTTCCTTCCGGCGAAGTTGTTCTCTGATTCTGATGTCTCTGCCTGAATCGCGTATTATTACGTTCTCCAAACTAGAAATGGTGACCAACGAGCGTATCTCCTCTGGACCATGACCCGAACGGGGTGTGGTCACTAGGAGTGTGATGCCTGCCCCCGAACGCATGGGTCTGTCTGTGCTCTCCTCGGTGGGCTCGTGAATGATTCGATGCCGTGGTTGTTTCGGCATCGGTGGTATCATCATCGAATGATTGCATCGTAGAGGGGGTGGTGTACCTAGTCTCCCCCGTATAGCCGGATCGTGCCCCATCCTGCTCATCCGCCAGGTGTTGCATGACCTGGGCTAAATCTCGCATAGCATTGGGGTTCCTCCTCAGTGCTTCGGGGATGAAGAAATCCCCATCAAAGTGCGGGTAGGATCCCCGACTGGATTGCCCTTGGGGGGTTCGGCTTTCCCCGCTCCTTCCTGAAGTGTCACTCGTGTGATGAGAAGTGATTCTAACCATTTTGGAATTAGTTTGATGTTTTGGTGTGAAACTTTTTGTCCAGAGTTTCCCACAGACGGCGCCAATGTTGAAGTTTAGTCCCGCAGATCCGAAAGCCCAACACGAACTTTGGATATATCAGGAAATGGTTCAGAACCAAGTGTATAAAGAAATATAAAAGATGCGTAATTGATTGCTCTAAAGCCTTTGTATTAAATAACTTGCTTGATTTCACGGAAACCTCCCGATCGATACGTCAGAGTAATGATTAATACAAGAACAAGAGTGATAATGCTATTCTAGAGCTTGAGCATCAAAATGCTAACCCTTTAGAATGATAATCCACCGACTTGGGTGCCCATGCTTCTACTTGTTAATGTTGTAATCTGGCATTTAATGCATTCTGGCCACTTGCACGTTGTCTGTTGCCCGAACGGGATAATGGACCATATGGAAAACGTCATTAAGTTGGTCCAAGTATGATGTATGACCCGAACCCCGTTCGGTGTGAATATCTCACTGGGCCTACTTACCACAGGGTTGTGGGCTCGTTGCTTGGGCTGGATATTCTGGGCCTTTAATCCGGGTATTGGGCCAAAGGCCCAATACCCCAACAGTAATATTAATAATCATTTCTATAATAATAGTAATAGCACTATAATAACTTTTAAAAGATAGCAATACTCTCAAATTGTAGCCCATATATACATTTATACATACAGATTCCAAGTCCATTTGTAATAAATCAGAATATAAATACGAACACAAATCAAAATTTTGGTGCAATTGTCTTTCAAATACAATACAAAAATTATGTATTCGATTTGAAGAATAAAATTAGAGTCGTTTGACTTTGATATATACAAATATCAACTTATTTCACACATTATAAGTACAATTTCTAATATGTGAGTGTTAGTGTTTATTTCAAAAGGTTTGAAATAGATTTATATTTATTAATCATAAAATTGATTCACTGTAGTATATTGTGCACAATCTAAAAATGCATTGATCCATTAAATTTAAATTCTAAAAACACATATTAAGTCATAACATGCATTTACAACAAAAATAGATATAAGAAAAGTTATTTTAAAGTGATATTTGACTAATATTTAACTTATGCTCAAATCGATTCGATATTCGTATATGATTCGTTAACTATTCGTATTGTTAAACAAATACAAATCGAAATTAATATCCGTTTCATATTCAAATTCGAATTCATATTCGAAAAAATTAAACAAATATAAAAACAAAATCCTGCTATTCGACTCGATGCGGTTCGTTTACAACCCTAGTTGTGATAGTATTTAAGTAATTTGCATATCCATGTATATCAATAATTTAAAGATTTTATCGTGATATTATTTAAGTAATTAGTAAAGAATTTCAAAAGAAAATGTTGCTCTCTTTATTCACTCAATCAAGCACACCATTTTCTGTTAATTTTGAAATCTTTGATTTGTGAAAAAAATATGATTATTCGTTTAATACATATCTTAATCACACCCAATACTTTTATATGTATTTGTATTATCGTTTAAATTCATTTACTTGTCTATATATATTCTTTATAAACGTTCTGCATATTGACCTGAGATATTTCAAAAGGGATAAAATTACTAAATCACATTTTATGTATTTTTTATAATAAAGAACTAAATATCTAAATGTCATTTTACGAAATTCTTTAGATGTAAATTGTCATTTGTGTTTCATTTATTTTCTTTTCTAAATGTATTCTTTATAAGTGTCCTAGTCTAGCCTAGTTGCAAAATTTAAAACATACTATTTAGCTCTAAAAAAGAAAAAGAATCAATATACTCACTTAACTTTCTCCCAAGCTATTATTAACATTTTTATATGCGCAAATGCTCCATTCTTTATCCAACATAATACTTCCACATTCAAGAAATGCACAAACAAACCATCTTCTCCCCTTATGCGCATACACTCTACTACACCCTTCAAATTTGTATAGCCTTTACTTCTTACTCTTTATTAATCAAATTAATACGGAGTATCTTGTAATCTTGAAGTTACTTCTCTAGTTTCTAATACATCCTCGGTATCGAAAAAGATCACCAAATTAACTTTTAATGATCAATGAGAATCAAAATCGTATCGAATAGACTCTACTACATCTTTCAAATCGACATTAATCAATGATATTTTTGTAATACGATGTTATTTTTAATATGAAAATTATATCAAAATGTTTTTTAATCAAGATCAGGATTGCACATACAAAAAAAATTAAAATTTTAGGCTAGTTTTCCGCCTTTGCAATATGTGCAGTGGGCTCATTTTTCAACCTAGCATAAAGTCAGGCCCAACTGCCCAAAGGACCAAAATTAACAAAAGACATCTTTGGAGCAACTCCCATCGCTGCTTCGCCGTCCAGTAGGCGCCAGCACCATAGCACGCTTCATCAGTCATCACCTCAAGCCCATCGGCCGGTTGTCTGCTCTCCGCCACTCACCTCCAGCAGTCGCCGACTCCCATCGCGGCTTCGCCCTCCAGCAGGCGCCAGCACCATAGCAGGCTTCGTCAGTCATCACCTCAAGCCGGTCGCCCGGTTTCCTGCTCTCCGCCACTCCCCTTTCGGCGGTTTGGCCAATCGTCCCTTCTCAAATTTCACATTTCGTAGTTCCGGTATTCCTCCAGTCCTACATTAATTGATTTAATGCATTTTTATTTATATATATTTAGTTAATTTAATGACATTATTGTTTTCTGAAACCTAAGAAACTCTTGAGAAACCTAATCACAATGTCTTTGTAAATTTCGTCAGATTTACATATTCAACAATGTGTTTTTGTAATTATTATCAACAAATTTAGATATTGATTCATTCATATTTGTCACCAGATCGATTCAGAAAAACGAAGATATGAGTTCTTTTCCTAAGATTTCAATATGGAAGCAAAAATAATGTTTTTATTTTCAGAAAACTTGTCACTCTGAAAGCGAAAAATCATACTCCAAATGATCGCAAATGGAACCTTTTAATAAATAATAATTATTACTGCATGAATGCTGTATTTTTAAAATAACCGCCAATTGCGTAAGCTGGATTCAAATATAATCTCCTAGAAAATGCCTATGTTGAACACAATTGTGACTATGTATTTTTCTGCTTAACATAATCAATTTGAGGGATTTTATACTTCTTCTCTGCTGCCTATACTTCTATAATAGAATAGATACTAAAGCAAAATATAATGAGTTCTTTAGACCATATAATAGAATAGATACTAAAGCAAAATATACGAAGCGTGCTATGGTGCTGGCGCCTGTTGGAGGGCGAAGCCGCGATGGGAGTCGGCGACTTGGCCAGTGCGTTCGACACTTCAACCGTTGGTGGATGATGGATGATCCAGAGATTTCGATGAGTCGCTCCGAAGATGCCTTTTGTTAATTTTGGTCCTCTGGGCGGTTGGACCTGATATAACTTTACGTTAGGTTGAAAAATGAGCCCACTACACATATTGCAAAGGCGGAATACTATGATATTTCTCTCTCTAGACCATATACTTGACCTCATTCTCCTACTGATTTTTAAATTTCTCTCTCATAAGTAATTTAGGGGATTTTTTTACTTTCTAGTATACATGTTGGAGATTTAAAAACGATAAAGTTAGGCTTTGGAGTTAAAATTAACTGAGGGTTATATATAGACTTCAAATTTTATTTTGACAGATCTGATAGCCCAACAAAAGATGAATGGTATATATGTTGTGTGTCACTACTCACTAGTTTTTACTTCGTATGATATACACATAGTTTTTACTTTAGATACATAAACCAGTTTATTAGTTGAATGGCATTTAGTCACTAATTTATTAAATCAACCAATGATTAACTCTAATATTTTCCATTTGTGTGCTTTATCAACTTAATCAGTTCATTATGTTGTTCCTTTAAGTCAGAAAACTTGGTATGTTATTAACTCAATTAGTTTCTAAGTTCATTAAGAATGATTTATACGGAATAACATGCAGTCTTTTATGAACTGAACTTGATGTCATGTTTCCCTAAATTCGAGTTTATTATGTTTGAACTTTTATGTTTTTGATATGTTGAAACTTACATACTTTTATGCCATAGGTCATATGTTTGAACTGTTCTGTTTTATGTAGCAGAAATTAAAGAAAGACGAGTTCACTTTACAAAAATTAGAAGATTTTTTCAGGAACTGAAAAACGCAAGAACCGAACCGTTTACATTTTATTCAGTTCCAAAATTGTTCATGATTTTTTTGAGTAGAACCGGACCGAATTTAGAAATTATATTTTTATAAAAAGTTCCATGATTGTCTAACTAGAACCGACCGATCCCAGACCTACTCTCGGCGACTGGGCTGATAGGCAGGCTCTCAGATGGACCGGTAGGCAGGCTCTTGGCTGGCTGACAGGTAGGCAGGCTTTCGACTGGACTGGTAGGCAAACTTCCGATTGGACTGGCAGGCCGTCTTGGACTTCTGCCTTGTTGGACTTCCTTGGTTGCTGTGCCCGTTAGTCGGGCTAACCTTTTGAGTGTTGAGACATCGGGCTCGCGCCTGCTTGTCTAGGGCCTAGACTCGCGAGTCCAACTCCAAGGCTTAGTTATATTAGGCTCTGGCCTAGCCCCATCAACCATTATCAATAGAGATGATAAGAAAACCTCTACCGGAGGAAAACATGTTCTCGTTAAAAGTTAAAACTTCTATTTTTATTGATGAAATCTTATTTTTTATATTTAAAGTTAAATTATACTTTCAAGATTGATGATAGAAAATATTTAATCTGATAAATATTTAAAAAATGTGAGTTCTCAGTTATTATATTTAATTTCCACGTTTTCAAAATTCACAATGATATAATTACAGCTCAATTCAGAAACTTTTTAAAACTATTTGAAATCTAAAAGGATCACCCCTGCAAGCCTTTGTTGCTTTGGTTCATTTTCCCCTGCAATCCCAAATTTGAGCTAATGTCATATGTGAGCTCTACTGAGCACCCCTAGATGGTAATCATTTGTATGATTACAAAGGAAATATAGATTGATAGATTCGAAGCTGATGCTATTTGAACGAAAATTAAATTGTTTCGAGCTTTCAAACATTCTTATTTAATTATACCCAAACATTCTTATTTAATTATTGTCTAAATAATCGTGCCGTTTTGACATGAGAACCTTTCAATTGGACAGAGATAGTACTACTTCCGTCCCCTTTTATTTAGCCATCTGACTTTTCTAGTCAAAGATGATAAACATTGATCCATTATTTTAACTAATAATCCGTATATTTATGTAAAACATTTAAGTTTATACTATGATAGTATTTTTAACAAAGAATATTTTCAATTCACTTTCATATTACCATGTATTAATATATATAACTGATCAAAGTTTAACATTTTTGACTTGAAAAACATTGATGGGCTAAATAAAAAAAAGTACATAAATGTATATTCCTTTAACTCATTTCAATGTTACAAAATTGGCCCAGTGTTTGATCCGGTCCAATTCGTCTCATCAAGGGCTCATCTGACGGTCGTACGTTATACTGTAGCGGCTATAGTGCTCTCTCCGTTTCCATATCCTCTTCTCCTTAGGCCGGACACACTCTGCACTCTGCACCACGTGGTTCGTCTTGAGGTTAGTCGATTATTACTATCTGTCTTCTTATTTTATCTTATCTTGTTTGGTTTGTTCCTACATATCTTATTTTATCTTATCAGCAGTGAATAGATCAAGGTTAGGGAGTTAGAGGGTGTTGTTGAGGTTCGTCCTTTATATGTTCTTTCATTTAAACGATGAATAATTTTCTAAATTAAGTAGTTGTAATAAGCTGTAGTTTAATGACCACCCAATATGCTGGCACTGTGAACTAACTTTGTGCTCTGATTTTGGTTATTAGTTGAGCAGTGAATGAACTTTGCCAATTGCTCCTCACTCTAAAGAGTTTGCTGCAAAAGAATGAATTGAAATCTTTCCAACTCTTCAATATTCTAATTTGTTAAAGATGAAAGTGAAAAAGCAAAAGCGCCATAGGAGAGCAGTCAGGTTTTACGCGGCTTGTTATGGTTTCAGAGAGCCGTATAAAATTCTTTGTGATGGAACTTTTGTGCACCATTTGATTTCCAATCGAATCACTCCTGCTGATACTTCACTCGCTAATACTCTTGGTGCCACTGTTAAACTTTTTACCACCAGGTCTGCATGAAAGAAATTGTCTATTGAGAAAGTAACTTTTAGTTACCACTTCTGCTCATTTTTCTTTTGATGTATTGGTTTACAGATGTGTAGTTGAAGAGTTGAAGAGACTTGGGACCTCTTTCTCTGAGTCACTCAATGCAGCCCGTAGTCTTTTAACTGCAAGGTAAAATTGGTCGCCCGATAATGTTTGGTTTGATTTCAGGAAAGTAACATCATGTGGAAAGGCTTTCCTAGAAAAAAATGGAATATAGGTTTGTTCATCTAATATTACCACCTCCGTTCCAGTTTAACGTTGTCATTGAAAAAATGGCACATTTATTTAGGCATTGATTAAATAAGATTATTCAAGTATATTTTGAGAAGTAGTTTTGATGGGTGTATATATTATCAGTTAATTGATGATAACTGTGATGTTATAGGTGTATTATTTTTAATATTTGATGATTAAATTGTCAATTAGAAGTGCTAATTATTTCCTAGAATAGAAATCACACCTACGGTGGGGTAAGCGGGGGTCGGATGTATGCAGTCTTGCCCCTGTACCAAAGCACAAAGAGACAGTTTCCGGATGACCCATAGTGAAAATTGCATGGACTGACTATTGCTTCATAACAAAGAAGCGCAGACAGTGTAGTGAGCCATTTTGCTTTATTCCATCATATTCCAAAGCCAAAAAATTGTGGATTTGTGGCTCCATTTCAAATGATGGAAAAATCCAAAAGAGACAAGTGACAAGCTCAAAATGGGACGGAGGGAATATAATTTTTTACCTACTAAAATAGAAAAAGAAAACAATTTTTGGAAAAATGACTTTCCATTATCAAATCAGAAAGTCGTTTTCCATGAAAACTCAAAGATTCATGAGTTTACTGTGCCCATGTTATAAAACTTAACTGTTTCTTTGGAATTGTGAAAATGGTGTGGAAACAAAATAGAGAGGAAATTTGGAAGGGAATGAAATGCAGGGGAAAACAAAAAGTTGCTTCAAATTTCAACATATCCATTTTATGTATATGTTCAAACTCGTCTTATTTAAATGCTATAACTATATAATAAATTCTAAATTTGTAATAAACCTAAATATACATTCTTACAATATGAAAGGAAGATGTGTATTTCTTAATGAAAATGACAACTAAGTGAACATATATAATTACACACATACAAACTAAGGAAAGGGAAACGACAAAAGATGAAGGGACAAGAGAAATGAGTTTCAAATGTACACGATTGTAGAATCTCTTCCAAATATACCCCTCAAGGTGTACCATACCTGGTGTGTCCAGATAGGACTCGAGTACCCGTGCTTCGTAGACTGGGACTAGGCATGACAACTTTTTCAATCAAATAAAACATAGCAAGAAAAGAAAACATAGCCAGCCAAGGAATGAAGATGCGTATTTCTTGATGATACAATACAAGAAAGCGAACATATATATATACAAACTAAGGAAAGGGAAGAGTTAAAAGATGAAGGATAAGATAAGGTGAAGGGATAACATATACTACATATTATATATGCTTCAACATTTATAAAATTTATAAAACCTTGTTCTGTTTTTTCTAGATGAAACCAGGCATTAAAAACAAATTTGATTATTATCCCCTGCATATTCTGAGTTCCAAACATATGCCGACTGAATTATAGAATGACTAATGACATGCGACTTGAAGCTTTTTGTGTGTGTATAGATATGATACAATTTAGTGTACCTAAAATCCTCGTCTATCATTGTAACAGATGTGATCACGAAAGCAGGAGAAGTGCTGTAGCTTGCATAACAGAGATCATTGGAAAAGACAACCCTGAACACTTTTTTGTTGCTACACAAGATGCTGATCTAAGGAAAAATCTTATGCAGGTGCTTCAACTTTGTATTCTATTTTGTGTAAAAATCTTATTCTATAGGGTATTTTTGGATGCGAGTAAGTCTTAGGGAAATAAATACTTCATAAATAACTAACAATGAGTTTCAGCTAATTGAAAAACATCGGAAATAGTGCTCTCATTCTTAATTGTTTAACCATGTTTGCGATTACTTTTGATTAGCCCCATTCTTAATTGTTTAACCATAACTAAGGTATACTTTTGCCAATAGTGCTCCCTGATCCGTCATAACTGACAATAACCATTTACTTTTAAAATAACTGAGATTTCAATGTGCTCTTTAAGTAACCTCAACTATGTTCAGTTGTTAATACCAACTACTCCCTCCGCCCCCTATAATTGTTCCATTTTTTCATTTTTGGATGTCTTTCTATTATTGTCCCATACCATATTTGGTAACATTTGTGTGGCTCTAATTGATTCTTACTTTATTCCCACTTTATCAACTCATTATCAACCACATATTTCTACTTTTCTTAAAAACCACATCACTTCCTATTCCGTCCCAATATTAGGGGGACAGAGGTAGTATCATTTATTTCTTTGCTTCTCTTTCAACTCCATATGTTTCATGTTATTTTCTAAGTTAATAAAAATACATCTTCATTACCTCATGTTTTGAGTTAAAAATCGCCAAATAAGCTATTTTCTTCATGTGTTTTCATATCACCCTTCTCCCTCAATTTTTGTTCAACATTTTCTCTTTTAGTTTTTCAAACTGAGTACCTAACTTCTTATAATGTACTACCTCCGTCCTCCTAATATTGGGACGGAAGGGAATGATGTGGTTTTTAACGAAAAGTAGAATTATGGTGGTTGATAATGAGTTGATAAAGTGGGAATAAAGTAAGAATGAATTAGAGCCACACAAATGTTACCAAATATGGTATGGGACAATAATAGTGGGACATCCAAAACTGGGAAAATGGAACAATTATAGGAGGACAGAGGGAGTATCTGTTATGAAAACCTTCTGTAGAATATTACCGACTATTATACAAAATACAATCTTTTAGTGAAGTAACGGTATTTGTATAGATATTTCTCAAATATGTTTACTGAGAAGTATAGTTTATTATTATTATAAAAAATTTCCAGACATGATAAAATATTCATCATTCAATCCGCGTATTTATCTATATATAGTTAGTGACGCTTCTCTGGGCCTCAGTTAATAGAATGAAATATCTTGAAATATCTTTAACCGATTTTGTATGTTCGTATTAAAATTTACAAAATATATATCAATGCATCTCCTTATTTGTGGATATTTCAAGCATTTTACTACTGTAACACAAACTGATAAATTACATACTTTAACAATGTTTGATATATGTATATGAAATATGTACAAGTATTGACATGAAGTTTGGTGATGGGTGTAGAAATGGAGAATGTTAATCCTAATAAAGATGTGTGTTGCCATGAGCATAGTAGTCACGGCGCACGGCGACCGGCATGGCGCAGGGGTGATTTCACACGGCGATGGCGATGACGCAAAAATGGCACACCAGTAAAACACAACATCAAAAAAAATTAAACATAACATATACACGATATATGTGTATGTGTATGTGTATGACTTAACCACCAATTAAAGAGTTAAATTTTTAAATTACTTATATGGTCCAACCGTCCAGTCAACTGGCCCACTGAAAATGAGAGGAAGTGAGAAACAAAGAAACAGAGAAGGCATTTTTACTTTACCAAAATAAAGAACGGGTTTCAGAGAAAGGCTTTTGCCAGACTTCAATCTAAAATAGCATAGAACTAAAACCGCGAAGCAAGCAGTCTGCGTGCGATTAGAGTCTGCGACCAGTTTCAGTAACAATCGGGGGGCGACGCGACCAGCTACAGCGACGGCGACCAGCTACAGCGACGGCGACCAGCTACAGCGACGGCGACCAGCGACTGCGACAGAGACCAGCTACAGCGACTACGACCATCGAACCAAAGTCGCGACCCAGATGCATGCGATAGCGCCATTATTTGGCGCAAAATGGCGATAGCGCACATTTGGCAACACAACCTGTAACCTGTGCGCCATAGCAAAAAATAGTGGCGAGGACCCCCTGAATTGCCAAAGGCGAGAAATGGCGATCGCCATTTGCGCCATTGACTACTATGGCCATGAGTTTTATTTTCAACTGGAGCAATAAGTAACTAATATTCTTGTTTGGAGTTAATAAAAGTTGATCAAACATAGTTTAGATGATTATAAGACTTTTAAGTTTTAACTAATTGTTTTTTATTAATTTGAGGAACATATTGTTGGTTACGGTGATCATTATCGGCAGATGGATCCCATAGCTGGGACTGTACACAAAAATCAGTTGTTGAGATTAATAAAAGAGGAGCGCACAGAGTTAGGATTATTGTGATCACTCTTTCCAAAATAAATTTATTGAGATCAAGTCTTATCCTTTTTCCTCCCAAATTTCCTTTCCTTTCAGTCTTCCTCTGTATTTCTGCCTTCTATTTCTAGTATTTCCAGCGTTTGAGACGGTTACAGATTTCCTCTCATGGCTCCAAATATGGATCCGTAATTTTTTTTGCTTATTCTTAGGTACTCCCACTATGAAAGTGTTAGCATTGCTTTGATTGTTTTGACCATTTTTCATTGATGTGGTGGCAGATACCTGGCGTTCCTTTAATTTATGCACTTAGGAATGCTTTGTTTCTTGAACGGCCTTCCACTTTTCAACAGAAGTTTGCCAAGATGGCCGAAGAAGGGCGTTCACATATGACTGAGAAAGAGTATAAAGCTCTAAACATTAAGAAAAAGAGGAAGTTTTTTGACCACAAAGCTATTGATGCCTCCAATGGAAGTGGAGAAGAGACAGGCCATGACTTAGAGGTCAAGAGTGTCAAGATGGATGATGAAAGAAAACGAAGCGACATCAAGGACAATAAAGTTCAATTTAAAAGAAAGAAAGCCAAGGTAGGACTTGTGAACTATTTCCGTTCACTTGTAGTCGCTCTATTTGGGTTTTCATAGAAACTAAGAGTAATTTTTTTGGGTAGTGAAAAATGGGAAATAGAAGATGTAAAGTAAGGGAGAACTACTTTAAGTTCCTGGTTTGACTTCATTGGTTTTTAGGTTGGATAGAAAACGAAGTTGACTTTCCAAAGTTGCCCTTGGGGTATTAGAAAATGTAGTAACTGAATGGGTAATAAAGCGTTAAATGAATAGTGAAATGGGGTTAAAGACATCAATTCAATAAAGGTATGCAAGGGTAACAGAGTAAATGAACAATAAAAACTTACCACAAATCGAAAGAAATTGAAGTAGGAACTTTATTTTGGGACATCCTGAATAGAAAAGGTGAAACTTAATTTCGAGAAGGAGGGAGTATTAAACTTCCATAAAAGAAAAGTGGAGGCTAGTAAAGGTGATCGAGAAAGAGTATATCAATTATCATGAATAATAGTCCTTTTAAAATTATTGGTTAAAAAGGAATTATTGGTTTAAGGCTCTATACAATAAAATACATCACAGGGCCTATGTTTTAATGCTATGTTTAGAACATGGAACAGAACGCAAAAAAGGAAAAAGCGCTAAAGATTTTTGTTACATTTGTTTTATCTTGAAAAAACCCGAAAAACAATTCGATTGAACTTTTAATTATTTATACTACAATTTTTTATCTTTCTTAATCTTCATAAATAGAATTATATAAATATAACGAGTTTGAACAAATATCTAACATTGATTTATTATTGACTTTGGTCCAAACCTGGTTTTTCCCCAACTTGTTTCCTTCCAATTCTTCCCCTATTTTATTTCCATGAATTTTTCCTAATCCAAACAGATCCCAACAATACATACACAATAATTTTACCAGCTGGTGATATAAAGGTTTTGTGATTTGGTAAATGCTATTTGTAAAATCATCTATAAACCTTAGATATTCTATAAATGGCGTGAATATGATGTCAAGTTAAGTCCTCATTTTTTTGTGTGCAACCTTTATTAACTATGTGTTTTATTCCTTGTATTGTGCATGTCAGAACCCAAATCCACTTTCTGTCAAGAAGAAGAAACCTAAACATGTGAATGCAGTAGCCGCCTCAGAAAAGGTAAATATATTCTGAATGCCAGTTTTGGAATCCCATTCAAATTGTATCACCTTCAGACTTGAGTCATTTTGATTAATCGCTTCAGAACACAAATGGATTAATCATATAAATGTAAAATCAATAAACATGAGGTTTCAAAAGCACATTGGTTATTTTCTTAGGGGTAAGTAAATTGCACGTCGTCAATAAATTACATTAATGAATTTAACATCAAATGTGTGAAATGTTGAGCTCAAAGTTGTAGATGACCGATGGTTTTGCCTGTTGATATGATGGGATTCAGAAATTCTTACCCGATAATGTGTTAAACCATTTTACCAGTTGGTGATATAAAAGTTTTTTTGAAATGGTAAATGGTTTTTTTAAAATCATCTATAAACTAACATATTCTATAAATGGCTTGATATGTTGTCAAGCAGGGGCGGACCCAGAAAAGTCATATTGGGGGGTGAAAATATTTTGGGGGGTTCAATAAACTTTTTGGGAGAGCAGAAATTATTTTTCGTATATATATACACTATTTTTTTTTGTTGGGGGGGGGGGGGGGGGGGGGGGGGCGGTAGCCCCCTGGGTCTCTACTACGGTCCGCCCCTGTTGTCAAGTAAAGTCCTTGCTTTTTTGTGTGCAACCTTAATAACTGTGTTTTAATCCTTGTATTGTGCATGTCAGAACTCAGATCCACTTTCTGTCAAGAAGAAGAAACATAAACATGTGAATTCAGTAGCTGCCTAAGAGAAGGTATATTTATTCTGAATGCGAGTTTTGGCATCCCCATTCAAATTGTATCACCTTCAGACTTGAGTCATTTTGATTAAGCACCTCAGAACACAATTGGATTAATCATATAAATGTATATTCACTCTCTCTTAAGTTTTCAAAAGCACATTTGGTTATTGATCATGGGGTTTACTTCATTGCACAACGTCATTAAATTACATGATTGAATTTAACATCAAATGGGTGATATGTTGAGCTCAAATTTGTGGAATTCTCTCACATGAACCTACATGTAGAAAATTCTTACTCATATCGTTTCATGATGCTCACAATGGTTGTTCTAAATTCCCAGCCTAGCCACTAGGGCTGATCCAAGAAACTTCCAATATTAAACTGACCAACAAGCCTATCAAATTGAGCCAACTGTTCAGTCTTATTTGCGATTGAACTTGCGATTTCATATTGAATGCTAACCTGTTATATGTGTGTGACTATAAATAATAGAACGGTTATTTTTACGAAAATTCCTGTATTCGTGCCTTGGTTGATGGTCAAATAAAAAAATCTCTTTGCTTCCTTGCGGTGGATGGTGAAACCGGTACGGTTCCTTCGCGGTGGCCGGTAAAATCAAGCATCTTGTTTTTCATTCTGAAATTAGGGAACTTGTTTTCATTTCATTGTAGCCTTGAGCTACATGATTGTATTGTTCTTATTCACTTTATCAATACTAAAAGTTTGTTTTCTACAAAATACACAATGTCTTTTATTATTAAAAACGTCAATAAAAAACCCATTGAAGTAGCAACCTCTGTGATATTCTAATATGTTCTCCAAGGAACTCTTAATTTCAAGTTTCAAATTGAGTACTAACCGCACGCAAGTAGATACTCCACAACTTGAGAGTTAGGAGCACTCAAGGGCACATTTGTTATGCGTGAATCAATTTAAAAAAGTTACAGGGTATGAATGTATCTACTTAGTCACAGGGTTTACAAATAAAAATAAATCTCTTCACATATGTATTAAATTAAGAAACCTATCATTCTCTCAACATCTTGAATAGACCTCAAATTTTGAAATAAAAAACGCTGAAAATAAATGGAACCATTAAGAATTTAAGATGATAGCATGTTTATCTCTTCAGATTTAGAAGATGTAAACTCTTGTAGAATGTCCAATACTCCAATGTAACCAAACGATGAGGTTTAGAGTTAAGTATAACTAATGATTCCGTATTATATTCCATATTGCTGTTCTGGCCAGTCCTTTACTCCTTTAGTGTTTTTGAAAGTGATTTCAAAACTAATTAAATTAAGCATTATAAATGTAAATAGCACTGTAAAGATATTAAGATATTTATTATAAATATTTAAATAGAATTGCGACGAAATAAAATTGATTTGTTTATGCTTGACTTGAAGACCAAAGAAACTGAAAAATCAAGTATCCCCATATCCCGGCTTGTTGGAGTGGTGTAATATTTCTCTCGTCAAAACTTCAAGGATGATGATTTTGAGCATTTTTTTTTTATAAATTTCAGTTTTAATAATTTGGGATTTTGGGTAGAGTTGCACTTCTATGTTTCCCCTTCAACTGGACTATAGATGCCCTTCAATTTTCGTGAAGTGATAACTGATATCTTTAACATCTAAATCTAAATCGATTAGAATTTCAGTTTTTCTACAAAAAAAAATACTTTGATTTTTCCAAATTATCTCTTGTATGTATAATTATAAATCTCAAGAAGATGCATGAAACTGAATCAAATTTGCAGAGAAATCGTATTCATATAGTCATATAGAAGAAGAGCTTCACTAGGAGTATAAAATATACATAAAGAAGAAAATTTGGAAGAAATCATACCATACGGCATACGCCAATAATAAGGAGAAGGCAACTGAAAAGCTTGAAAAGATATTTACATAATAATTAAATAAAGTTGATTGAATATATTTTGAATAATTTTGATGGATATGGAATATAATGACATCATCGATGATAATTGTGATATTATATGAGTCTTTAAAAAAAAAATAGAAACATGAACTTTTAATTGGGACGTCTATGAGATGGAAATCACACAAGTTCCTTCCCTTTCAACCATATATAATTTTTATAATTTTAGATAACGTTATCTATTTCTTATTTAATTATAGACCGCTCGGAAAAGGTTATAAAAAGTTCTAGATGATGTTATAAACAAAAACAAAAACATGTAGACACAAATTAAAGAATGAAGAGTTTTGTAGAAAAATTGCACAGATGATCACATACACAATTTATTTCCTTTTGGCTTGATATAGGCTTTTAAAATGAAAATGGTTGTTGAAGTTTGTGTAGTTTAACATTTTGTATGGGTATTGGAAGGGAATAGAATTTACTGCACCTCATATACATAGAGACGTGATGCAAGCAAGAGAGGAATTCATTATTGTAATTTTACAAATAGCAATAAATAATAGGGAAGAGTAATCATGAAATTCATAAATATTGCCCTAAAAACATCCCATACAACAGGGAGAATGTCAATGATAGTTTAATTAATAGTTATAGATTATGAACAATAGCTTATTAATTAATAAATTAACTAATAAATTAACTAATAAATTAACTAATAAATTAATTAATTAGTATTTTGCATTCAAGCAGGGGCGGAGATAAGGAGAGACTGGAGGGGACCTTGGCCCCTGCAAGAAAAAAATTCTTAAATATATATTATGTATAAATACTTTGAATCTAGAGAAAATATGTTGATATTTTAAACTTTGGCCCGACAATCTAAAATTCTCAAAGCTCGGCCTTCTTAACTATAGATTTTTGGCTCTACCACTGCATTCAAGCATTTGCAAGTTGCAACCATTGATGCTTCCAATGTTCGAAAAAGCATTTGGCAGCCTCTAGGCAGTAAGTAGATGGACATCTTAGTTCATCAAATAACTTCATACTTTGATTTACACCCACTTTAAAGAAATAAGAGATTTGTCTTTAAATTCCCGAAATACATTTTTATTAAGACTAACAATACGGCGGAACATATTGTTTTCATTAAAAGAATCTCTTTACCAATAGAAGAAGAGTATTTTGTTTTGAGAGATTCCAAAGAGTAACACAAAAAGTTTTTCAAGGGACGGGGAAATAAATTAATGGCGTTTAACTTTTGAGAGATTCCAAAGAGTAACACATAAATCCAAAGAGTATTTTATTTTGAGAGATTCCAAAGAGTAACACATAAATATTGTGTTTAAAAAAGGATGTTTCTTAAAACGTTAAATTAATTTTAATTTTTAGATATTCAATATTGATGTCATTTGAAAGATAATAAAATGTTATGAATTTTGATACATAGTTTTGCAAGAATGGGAGAAAAGTTATAAGCTTTTAAAAAAACATGGGATTTTTCCCAAGTGAGACCCTTACTAAAATTAATCTTTTGTTGTCTTCCTTCTTACGTTTGTATATCTTTAGCATAAGCTGCCACTTTATGTGTTAGTTTTTGAAATAATGGCACCATTATTACTCCCTATCTTTCCAATTCCAAAAATATTACTCCTTCCGTCCCAATTTGATGGTCTCATTTCTTTTGGGCACAAGTTTTAATAAAGTGATTGAAAAGGTAAAAGTTGTGGGGTGAGATTTGAGTATAATAAAGTGAAATGATATGGACCACATCTTTCTTTCCAAAAATATAGGACCATCATTTTGGGACATCCCAAAAAGGAAATACAGGACCATCATTTTGGGATGGAGGTAGTACCATTTTAATTTTTTCCAAAAAACTGACCACTTACCGCTTCTTTCCCCAAAATCATTTCTCCGCACTTCATTTTGTCACGCACATCGACTCTTCCCTCTCTGCGAAGCATAAGCCACCTGCCATGTCACACAACGACACTTCTCTCTCTGAGGCCACACCAATCTTCCTTCATTTCTCCACAAGGTCGAGATGCCTTTTCTTTTAGCACGACCATTACACATATTGCAAAGGCGGAATACTATGATATTTCTCTCTCTCTAGACCATATACTTGACCTTATTCTCCTACTGATTTTTAAATTTCTCTCTCATAAGTAATTTAGGGGATTTTTTTACTTTCTAATATACATGTTGGAGATTTAAAAACGATAAAGTTAGGTTTTGGAGTTAAAATTAACTGAGGGTTATATATAGACTTTAAATTTTATTTTGACAATCTGATAGCCCAACAAAAGATGAATGGTATATATGATGTGTGTCACTACTCACTAGTTTTTACTTCGTATGATATACACATAGTTTTTACTTTAGATACATAAACCAGTTTATTAGTTGAATGGCATTTAGTCACTAATTTATTAAATCAACCAATGATTAACTCTAATATTTTCCATTTGTGTGCTTTATCAACTTAATCAGTTCATTATGTTGTTCCTTTAAGTCAGAAAACTTGGTATGTTATTAACTCAATTAGTTTCTAAGTTCATTAAGAATGATTTATACGGAATAACATGCAGTCTTTTATGAACTGAACTTGATGTCATGTTTCCCTAAATTCGAGTTTATTATGTTTGAACTTTTATGTTTTTGATATGTTGAAACTTACATACTTTTATGCTATAGGTCATATGTTTGAACTGTTCTGTTTTATGTAGCAGAAATTAAAGAAAGACGAGTTCATTATACAAAAATTAGAAGATTTTTTTAGGAACTGAAAAATGCAAGAACCGAACCGTTTACATTTTATTCAGTTCCAAAATTGTTCATGATTTTTTTGAGTATAACCGGACCGAATTTAGAAATTATATTTTTATAAAAAGTTCCATGATTGTCTAACTAGAACCGATCGATCCCAGACCTACTCTCGGCGACTGGACTGATAGGCAGGCTCTCAGCTGGACCGGTAGACAGGCTCTTGGCTGGCTGACAGGTAGGCATGCTTTCGATTGGACTGGTAGGCAAACTTCCGATTGGACTGGCATGCCGTCTTGGACTTCTGCCTTGTTGGACTTCCTTGGTTGCTGTGCCCGTTAGTCGAGCTAACCTGTTGAGTGTTGAGACATCGAGCTCGCGCCTGCTTGTCTAGGGCCTAGACTCGCGAGTCCAACTCCAGGGCCTAGTTATATTAAGCTCTGGCGTAGCTCCATCAACCTTTATCAATAGAGACGATAAGAAAACCTCTACCGGAGGAAAAAATGTTCTAGTTAAAAGTTAAAACTTCTATTTTTATTGATGAAATCTTATTTTTTATATTCAAAGTATCTTCAATAAAATAATGAGAA